TTTTAATATCTATCTATCTATCTATCTATCTATCTATCTATCTATCTATCTATCTAATGTGCCATGGGTGTCAGGTCCTATGAAACTGGAGTTACAGACAGGTATGAGCTGCCATGTGGGTGCTAGGAATTGAACCCGGGTCCTCTGGATGAGCACTGATGGAGTTACAGACAGGTATGAGCTGCCATGTGGGTGCTAGGATTTGAACCTGGGTCCTCTGGATGAGCAGTCAGTGCTCTTAACCCACGAGCCATCTCTCCAGTCCTGGGACTCTATATTTCTGCTGAGGCTTCAGGGTCTGTGTCCATATCAGAGGCTGACCACGCCCACCAGGAATTGGCCCCAATTCCTTCCCCAAACTGTTTCAGCCCCTGGCTGACACATAGGCGGGATGAGCGAACAGAACTGTTCCAGGCTGTGGAACACTTCCTGACCACTGGTTAGACCAGGGCCTCCCCATTGGGCTTTCAGGGCCCACCTGCCCTGCCCCCAACCTGTCACTCACCGCCACGGCCTTGAGAGACTGCACGATGATCCAGTGGATTTCATCAAACAGTTTGCTGGTCACCTCTCTGCCTCGGGTGCTCTCCAGGTAGAGTCGCAGGTTGTTGACAGTCCACTTGCCACCGTGGATATGGTTGTAGTCCTCCTGGTGAGGGAGGGAGGAAGCGACCTTCAGGACACAGCCTGGGGGAGCCCAGCCACTTACCCTCAAGTGCCTCCTGGGTATGAACAGCTATCCCGCAGCAAGACAGAAGGAACCCCCTGCCCAGGGTGGTCTGCGCCATCTGCTAGACACATTGTTAGATGTTCATCTCCACACTAGACTCATAAGCAAGTGCTCCCACTCAGGAGCCCACACTGTGAAGTCCCACCTGGGTCCCCGTCCAGACCAAGGTGCTCATTCCTCCCTCCCTGGAAGCTGCTCTAGATCAATGCTTTTGGTCATGGTATTCCATCCCAGCAATGGTAACCCTAACTAGGACAAATGTGTATGCTAATAGTTCCAGCATTTGGGAGGATGAGGCAGGAGGACAGCCTCTACTACTTTGCAAGAGTCAATCTCAAAAACTGAAACAAAGATGGCTGGGCATGGTAGTGCACTCCTTTAATCCCAGCACTGGGGAGGCAGAGGCAGGCAGATCTCTATGAGTTCCAGGCCAGCCTGGTCAACATAGGAAGTTCCATGACAGCTAAGGCAAGACTTTATCTTGAAAAACAAGGGAAAAAAAAAAAAAGGAAACAAAACCCAATGATAACAACAAAAACATTAAAATGCCTAAATCAGTAGTGTATAATTTTAAGAACAATTGATAAAAAAGAGAAAGGGTCTTGAGGGGTCAAGTATCTCCAGCCAGATACCACAGATGTGGACGTGCAAAGCACGCACGTCACTCGGTCTTCGGTCGCCTCGGAACCCCTCAAACCACCAGCCTGCAGGTGTCTCGGCCTCAGACCTGGCCGGCTCTTCCTTCTCTGCCTGCTAAGCCTGTCCCTTCCAGGCCTGCAGCAACCATGATCCCTCCCCTTGCTTGTGAACCCTCCCCGCACAGCAGGGGCTCCTGGGCTTCTGTGACAGCCAGGCCTTGGCCACACTGACTCCTGCTCTTGCCAGGAGGGGCTGCTTTCCAGCACTCAGAGTGACAGATGTTCCCTTTCTAACTCTAATGCGGAGCTGTGGATAATTTTCCCACAAGGCTCAAGCTGCAGTTTCAAAAAAGGAAGTGCTTTGCCATTCAAAAGGGCTGCATGAAGCAACACACACACACACACACACACACACACACACACACACACACACACACTATAATGTTCAATGGGTTAGGTGAACTGAATACATTTTCTACCTACAGTATTTTTACTTTAAGACAGGGTTAGGGGCTGGAAAAATGGCTCAGTGATTAAGAGCACTTGCTACTCTTCCAGAAGACCCAAGTTTGGGTCCCAGCAATCATCATGTTGAGTGGCTCACTATCATCTGTAACTCCAGTTGCAGAAAATCTGATACCTTCTTCTGGCTTCTGTGGGCACCTATACACACATGCCTGTGCTCACAGGCACACATACATACATACACATTAGAAATAATAATAATAGGCTGGGCAGTGGTGGTGCATGCCTTTAATCCCAGATTTGGGAGGCAGAGGCTGGTGGATCTCTGAGTTTGAGGCCAGCCTGGTCTATGGACAGAGTTCCAGGACAGCAAAGGCTAAAAAAAAGAAAGATTGTCGTGAAAAACCAACCAACCAGAACAAACAAATAAAAGAAATAATAATAATAAAAGAAAACAAACAAAAGAAATAATAATAATAAAAGACAGGTTGCTGGCTGTCTATAGCTCTAGCTACTCAGATACCTAGGCAGGGGAATTACAAGCCAAGACCTGCCTGGGCTACAGCATGAGCAACTTAGTGAGACATCGTCTCAAAGTAAGAAGAGGCTAGGAGGCTGGGAATATAGGTCAGTGGTGGAGGGCTTACCCAACATGCACCAGTGCACCAGGTCCTAAGGCCAGTTTCAGCACAATAACCAACAGAGGTTTGCCCCATCTCAGGATGGGATACGACCCATCTCAGGTCAAGGTCCCCTTCTTTTACTAAAGGAGGCTCCAGCATTGAGCCGACTCGCCCATGATGCCAGAAGCAGAAAGGGGAGGCCTGGACCTACACTCTTGTTTCTCTAAGTACCCCCACCTCTATTCCAACCATCCCTAACCAGCCACTCAGGTAATGTGCCTGGGACAGTCATACCTGCTACTCCGAGTCCCTTCAATGTCTGGGCCTTGGGCCACTGGGTTGTGAATGGCTCTCCTAGAACTAGCCTGGTCCCCTCTTGCAAATACACATGAGAGAGAATCCCACAAAGCCAGGCTACTTCCTGATGCACAAAGAGGAGACGCTCACCCCGTGCTTCTGGATGGCTACATTGGTAAGGTGGACAAACATGTTGTCCAGCTCGCTGGTGCTCGGGGTGTACTTCACCGTGCAGAAACGGCAGAAGCCAAGCTTGTACCTGCAAAGGAACTCAGGCTGAGACACAGGACACGGGAAAGAAAATACACCAGTCCACTCGAGAGAAGAGTGGCTGTTAGCATCCAATGCTTTTGGTTTCACTGTGTAGCCCAGGCTAAGCTCAAACTCACGACCTTCCCATCTCCACCTCCTGAGTGCTGGGATTAGAGGTGTACCCACCCTACCCCACTTGCTTCAAATGTCCCAACGAGCGGTGTTCTTATTTGTAAGATTTACAGTAGCTTCCGGGTCAACTGCTCTTCAACAAGAACTACCCATCTGATACCCACTCTGAGCCAGGCGTTGTGTCCCCCCCCCCACATCACTGAGTCATTAAGCCTCGAGGTAACACTATGAAGTGAGCCCGATGGAAGCAGGGCCAGACTCTTACATGTAGCAGCGCAGGGGGCGGTATGTGGATACCAGGACATAGAGCCGTAGGTCAAATTTCCTCCCGCCGATGAGTAACGGGTTATTGATATAGAGGGAGATCACGTAAGCTTCTTTTGTGGACTGAGACACAAACCTACACACATCAGAGAGAGTCACAATTAGGTTGTAAAAGATACAAGATTAAAGGCACCACTTGCAAAGGAGGGAAGTGATAACTTGCTGGCCACTGTGATAGTTTGCTTTCTTTTTCAATTAATTATTCAATGTGTATGTGCATGTATGTCTGTGTATCATATGCATGCAGTACCGTGGGGGAACCGGGGTTACAGTTGTGAGCTGTCATGTGGTTGGGTCTCAAACCTGAGTCCTCTGGAAAAGCAGCCAGTGTTCTTAACAGTTGAGCCATCTCTCTACCCCGGTTAGCTTTAATCATCAAATTCACACAACCTAGAATCAGCTGGGAAGAGTCTCCAGGCACTCTCTACATTAGCCTGTGAGCATGTCTGTGGCTAACTGTCTTTTTTTTTTTTTTTCCTCTGTGCACCATGTGTGTGCAGTGCCCGTGGAGGTCAGAAGAGGTATGAGACCCCCTTGAACTAGAGTTATTACATACAGTTGTTAGCTGCCATATTGGTTCTGGGAACCTAACCCAGGTCCTCTGCAAGAATAGCAAAGGACTCTTAACCACTGAGTCATCTCTCCAGCCCTCTGTAGGAGAACTACCTTAATTATGTGGGACTACAGTCTACTGGGAGCAACACCATCCCCTAGGCCAGGATCCTGAGCTACATGATGAAGAAAGCTATTGAGCACAGGTAAGCAAGAGGGCATGCATATATTAATTTCTCTCCACTCTCGACTGTGGGTGTGATGCAAATAGGTGTTCCAAGTTCCTGCCCCCCTTGACTTACATTCCGGTGATGAAATGTAACCTGGGATTGGGAGCTAAAATCAATTAGCTCCCCCTCTGGGGTTGTTTTTGTCAGAAATCAAACTGAGACAGCCATTAAAATTAGAAATCTGTATATAGCTGGGTGTGGTGATACATTCCTTGGCATTCACCCAAAGGAGCTGAGGATCCGATCACACACACACACACACACACACACACCACGCACGCACGCACGCACCCAAGCCCTGCAGAGTGATGCTTACGGTAGCCTCAGTCACAGCTGCCCGGACGTGCCAGCCATCAAGGCGGCCTTCAGTAGGTGAGTGGGTAAACTGTCAGATAACAGACCGATTTATTCAGTGGCGGAAAGAAATGAGTGCGCAAGCCAGATGACATAATGTATGCCAGGTACTTAGGGGGACCCTTAAAAGTGACAGCAGCCAACCCGAAAAGGCTCCACACTGCGTGATTCTAGCCGGATGACAGTCTGAAAAAGGGAGGAAGGACTAGGCATCCGGTAAGAAGAGCAGCCACTGCCTGAGGATGGCCGGAAAGGGGGAAGATGGGCTGGAAGGCGG